CTGTTCCCTCCTGACAATATGTCCAAAGTATGAGAGACAAAGCTTAGCCATCCTGGCCTCCAAGGAGCACTCTAGCTGCACTTCTTCCAAAACAGATCTATTGGCTCTTTTGGCAGTCCATGGCACTTTTAGTATTCTCCTCCAACACCACAACTCAAAGGCATCAATTCTTCTATGGTCTTCCTTATTCACTGTCCAGCTTTCGCATCCATATGAGGTTCTTGAAAATACCATGGCTTGGGTGAGGCGCACCTTAGTCCTCAAGCTGACATCTCTGCTCTTCAACACTTAAAAAAATTCCTGTGCAGCAGATTTGCCCAATGCAATACATCGTGTGATCTCTTGACTGCTACTTCCACTAGTGTTGATAGTTGATCCAAGAAGAATGAAATCCTTGACAACTTCAATCTTTTCTCCGTTGATAAGAATGTTCTTTATTGGTCCAGTGGTGAGGATCTTTATTTTTCTGACATTGAGATGCAACCCATGCCGAAGGCTGTGTTCTTTGGTCTTCATCAGTAGATGTTTCAAGTCCTCTTCACTTTCAGCAAGCAAGGTTGTATTATCTGCATATTGCAGGTCACTATGAGTCATAATTGACTCGATGGCATGTAACAACAACATCTTAGGAGAGATGGTGGCTTTGACCATAGACAGGAAGTAGAAGAGGTACAGTTCATTTATAAACACTGCCATCACTCCTGCCACCCCAGTCTACATCTGTTCTTAAAGCAATGTCAGGAAGGGCACAAAACCCTGTCTTGGGCTTGTTGTTGTTGTTGTTGTAAAGTGCCATCGAGTCGATGCTGACTCATAGCCCTGTATAGGATTTCCGAGGACCAGTTGATTTGATCTGCCGACTTTGTGATTTGCAGTCACCAGTGCACATCATACAGCACCACACCAGGAATCCTACCTTGGGCTTGTTTTTTAATTTAAGCAGGCAACCTTGATCAAAGCACTTTTGTTTCAAATTGTCCCTTTAATTGACAGCCTGAAGCTTTTTTTACTTTCCAGAACATTGCACCATTGTAAGATTAGCAAGCCTTTCTTTTTAAGCTAGGAGGAACTCAAGGCTCTACTCACAGCAGGTAAGCTTTAGAAGTCGGTACATAAAGAAACAGAAGCTTTGGAAATTGATTCTTTTAAAACTGTAAGTGCCCTTTGAAAATCTTCTAATGATTTAGCCCAAGTAAATGCATCTTCTGATAGGGAAACGTGGGCATTATACAATGCTGGTTAGAACGATTCTTCAGTAGTAGAATCATAGAAGCTGCATCTCACTCACTGGGAGATAAGGCGTGTCTCAAATGTATGCAATGATTCTATGAGGCACCACTAGCTCAGCCTTGGGACATACTCCCTCTGGTGAGCAGCCCTGGTCTGTGTCTGAAACACCACAAATCTAAGCAGAGCATGAAGGAAAAACCCCTATCCCTTCCTCTCTTTCATTCCTCCCTGCCTGTGATACCTGCAGGCTTGTCCTCCTTCCCTACAAGCTTCTAATGTGAAGAACTCGCAGTGCCTTTGTTGACACTGATGGAGAGTAGCTTCAACTATGATCTTTGCCAGGAAAGTTTGCTTTCTAACAGCTGTAAGCCAATATTGCAGACATTTCTATAACATAGTCACAATGTTTGCCACATTCATATACCACATCCATTCTTATTTTTCCCCTTCTGAGTAAACTCTCCTTTCTACTTCTACAAATTTGTTTTTAAAAGAAAATTATTGTGTGGCTATCACATTGAGTATTCCTGCAATCAGACCAGGGTTCCCCAGAAAGCAGAGACAGAAAAAAATCCTAAATGAAATCGTTTGTTTGAAAATGTGAATCTGGGGTACAGGGAAGTGATCGTGAAACAGGAAAAGGGAAAACGGCAACTGGTACTTGATCCCATTGGACCTTTTTATCTTTTGAGGATGTAAGGAAGGGGAGTGAAGAGACTCATATCTCTCCCCTTGGTCCAGGGTGGCCCCATGGCCATTGGCTTCCCTACATGCCCAGGCTACACATGCTTCCAAGCTTCCAAGTAGATCCCAAGGCCACCGGAAAGCCCTGGAGCCGCAGACACATAGGCAAGGTGCTGCCAGACTAGACCTGTGTAAACTGGTCAACTGGTCCAGCTTGGGTCAGTGCTAGCCCATGGGATGCTCCAGAATTATCCCACACAGGAGGGGCACAGGGATGGTTGGTGTGAAATGTGGGCGGTAGAGGATGAAAGGATTTATTGCAGTGACCTGTGGGTATGTGATGGAGATTATGGATTGGAGGGACTACAATGTTCCCAATCTCAACCCTTGGTTCTATCCTGTGTTCACCTTGTTCCAGGCCAACATGGTTAAAGTGACTGGGATGCATGTCCAACATGCTGCCAGGAGCCCATCCAGTGAAGGCAGGGAAGAATGGGGAATGCAGCTAAGGTTTGTCTTTGTGAGCTGAGTACTCTCCCCAAAGTGTCCACTCCCTGTGAGATCTAAGGCCTGCCCCTGCAGCGGCAGGACAATGACTAAGGAGAGTATTCCTGGTGCTAAAATGAAACAAAACCAGTACAGAAACAGCCAGCCAGAAATATAAAGTTCATATATTACCTTCCAGAGGAGCACAGTGGCTCTGTAGGATAAGCACTGGACTGTGAACCACAACAAGTTCAGTAGTTCGAGCCTACCAGATACTTCTCAGGAGAAAAATGAGGCTTTCTGCTCCCACAAAGATTTATAGCCTCAGAAACCCTATATAGGGTCGCTATAGGTTGGAATCAACTCAACGGCACTAAACAACCGCCCTCTCCCCACCCCTCCAACACAGCCAACTGTCCTACTCCTCCCATTTTTGAGGTAATTTCTGCCCTTTCCTCAAGACTGCCCAAATAAGTCACCATTTCCTGTTCATGCATGATAATGAAGGAGGAGACTTGTAGTTGCTGCAGGCAACCCCACACCCTCTAAGGAGGTGGCTGAAGAAAGGAGCAGGCAGATGGAGCTTCTTCAAATCACACATTGCACCAAAGCTCCCCTGCTTTGATTGAATGTATTTCTAGGTGACCAAGACTCAGATCCTCTGTCAAATAAAAAAGGAAGTTCAGAGGGGAAACGCCACCTCTATGACATTTTAGTCCCTGAAAATCTGAGTGGCCTGCCATTATTTTGAAGACAGCAAGAAAGGAACATCGCAGAAGTGAGGCTTGCTTCACCCTTTAATTTTTTACCACAAAAGAAAAAGAGAACTTTTTCATCAGCAAGAACAGTAAGTACATTTACTATTATCTTAATATCATATAATTTAGTCTAACTTGTTACTAACAACCTGACTGTTTTTTTAAGTAAACACACCCTCACTAGTACCTCTGAGATGAAGGGTGTTGTAGTTGTTGTTCGTTGCCATAGAGTTGGGCCTTACTTGTGGGAGCCCATTGCACAGTGGATTTAACCATTGTGGTCCATAGGGTTTCAGTGGTTGGTTTTACAAAAGTAGATCACTAGGCTTTGTCCCTAGCCTGGACGCTTCACTGAAAGCTGTTCAGCATCACAGCAACACAGATAAATGGTGCCTGAACATGAGGTATATTGACTATGGGGAATTAAACTTGAATCTCCTGCACAGCAGATGACAGTTCTACCACTAAGCTAGCCATTAGCCCTCTCTGAGACACATACTTGCTCCAAAAGGAGTTTTGCCAGGATGTCTTATTTCCAGGGAGGCTGCAGTCTCCCAAAAACATTTGGAGAATCACTATCAAAGTTGTAGCCCATTCTTTTAAATTTCCTGGATGGTGCCAAATACTAATTTTGTAGACTGAATTTGAGTTGGTTTAGCCACTAAAATTCTGGTGAGTAAGTGTGTTCAGAGTCCTGGTGTGGTTTTGTGGGTTAATGCGCTGGACTGCAATGTCGGTTTGAATAGCAAGGTCAGCAGTTCAAGCTCACCAGCTGCTCCTTGGAAATGCAGGGTCACTATGGGTCGGAACCAACTCAAAGGCACTTAACAATAACAAGAAGTGTATTCAAGCCATTCTTGCTTAAAATGGAATGTAACTAATTAAATAATCTGGTGTGACTAGACAAACTCTGGAGGACAGGGAGGGGATTCCCCAAGATAAGCTCCAAACACTTTCTGGACAGTACCATGGGGTTAGGTCTGTAGTAGCCTCCGGAGAGAACCATTTTAGAGTAAGCCTTCATTTCCTTCCTAAATTAGTATATATTTACTTAAAAAAAAAAAAAAATTCTGCTTCTTCAAATTATAGTACATAAAAATAAAATGAAGAAGTAATTTTTCAGAGTGTGCCTTTTTCTCTCGCCTTTCACGGATAGACTTTTTCTGTTGATTGCGAGTGTCTATGTTTAAGACATTGCATTCTGTTTAAGAATGGAGATACTTGACTTTCTTTGTTAACATGTTAAGAAGGAAGTTGTATCCTTACTCAAACCCTGCCTTGTACAGAATATGCCCTCCCTGGGTGCTCTGTTTTTCAGTATGTTCTAAAGAGGATCTGAACTCTCCTGAGTTGGCTAACTGAACCTTATAGTTCTCTGTATTTTCAACAAAGTCTTAGTAACACCTCTTGAATGAAAGACCACAGGATAGAACCATCTCGCGACATAGTTCAGTCCACTTTTGCTTTACATTCAGTTCATGATCATTTCCTGGTTTGAAATTCTCTCAGGTTAAACAATCACCAGATTATTTCTCCTGCTCACTTCAGCCAGACAACCGGGAGGTTTGTATCCCATAGTGGACAGATCTTCCTACCTGGGTGACTTTTATAAGTACATCTTTTCCGGTTTTAAGATTATTAAAATAAGTTCACAAATTTTTATAAGCAGGGGGTTGGAAACACAGATAGACTAACCACTAGCCATTACATTTTGCAAACTTCACTGGAGAACCTTTGATAGCGGGTGATTGAATTGTCTTCCACCCTTGCCTGAGTGGGAGGCCTAGTAGGTGTCCAGCTCTTACTTGGTTCTAAATGATCTGCTTTCTTTTCCTTCCTAAGCATCTGAAACAATGTGGGGAACATCACCACCCCAGGGGCCACACTTCAAGCTTTTTCAGCTCTTAGTGTTGACTGGTCTTTTCTACTACTGCTCAGGTAAGAAACTTTCAGGAATTCACCTGAACACACTGTTAAGGGGTTAAGAGAAAGGAGATGGTGCTACCTTCTTCTATCACCCTATGAGCAATCTTCAAAGCACTTCCTGTCCATCTTATGGATGAGAAAACTAAGGCCCAGAGAGGTTAAGGTGCCTGTCCACGATTGCACAGCAATTAGTGGCCATGTTAGCCAAATAACTTAGATCTTATGAACAGGGCAGGCCAGTATTATTTGTAACAAACCCATAAAGCAGATGCAAAAGTCATCTTAGAGTTGTGTTTGCATTTATATTTGTGATGTACTAAGGAGCCTTACCAACTGCTCCTTGGAAACCCTATACAAGGTCGCTATGAGTCGGAATCGACTTGACGGCATTTAGCAACAATAACAACAAGGTGTATTGGTGGCACTGTGGGTTATGCATTAGGCTACTAACTACAGGGTTTGCAGTTCAGCAGGAGAAAAATGTCTACTCCTATAAAGATTCACAGTTTCTGAAACTTTACATAGAGTTGCTATGAATCAGAATCAACTTGAAGGCAGTGAGTTGTTTTTGTTTTTTAAAGGGTGTTGGTAGCACTGTGGCTAAGTGCTCAGCTGATAACTGAAAGGTCAGTGGTTCAAACCCACCAGGAGGATGATGTATCCATATGCTTCTGTAAAGATTGATAGCCTTGGAACTGTGGGGCAGTTCTAGTGTGTCCCATAATGTCACTATGAGGCACAGCACACAACAACGATGGTGTTGGCCCTAGGCTCTGAGTCTCTTACTGTGTGTTCATGGAACAACTCAGCTAGTGTGTTCTGCCTGTAAAATTGAATTAGTGCTCCACAGCTATGCTATTCTAAATGGAGACTAGCCGTGGAATATAATTTTCTTTTTAGTAGTGCTCCAAAATTTTATTCTAAAAAATTTCAAACCAACAATGAAGTTGAAAGACTAGCACATGAATACCCACAATTAGAAGCACAAATTATTAACATTTGCCACCTGTGTTGTCTGAATACAATTTTCTTAATGTTAAGTTTTTCTCTTTATATTTGTTCTGATATTTTGCATGTTGATAACCTTTATCGACACTAGCATCTGACATTGTATTATCATCTTAGTTATTTTTAAGGAGCATTGGTGTGGCACTGTAGGATAAGCTCTGAACTGCTAACCACAAGGTCAGTAGTCCAAATGGTTTTCTGTTCCTGTAAAGATTTACAGCCTTGAAAACACCATACAGAGTTGCTATGAGTCATAATTAACTCGATGGCAGTGACTTTGGTTTGGTTTGAGATACTTTTAATTTACTACATAGATATTTCAGGTAGGTTGCGCAAATGACATTTTCCCTTCTAGGGGCTTTTTTGTTCCAGCTCTGGTAGTTCTAGAGGTGCCAGATTTAAAGGACTCTCGGGGAGAGTAGAGCACCTTACTGGCAGAATGACATTCTTATTTATTTTGTTGTTGTTAAGAAGATATACAGCAAAACATTCACAACTTCAGCTGTTTCTGCTTGTAGAGTTGAGTAGCATTGATTGCAGGCTTGGAGTTGTGCAACCATGCTCACCCTTCAGTGTGTGTATAAGTCAGCATCGTTGGTTTATTCATTTATCCATTGATTAGGTTGGTGCCATCATTTTGCTATCGTGAATAATGCGAATGTAAATTATGAATGCGCGGACATCTATTCTTGTCACGACTCGTACTTCTCTGGGATAAATATCTAGCAGTTAGGCCACTGGATCATATGACATTTCTATTTCCAGTTTTTAAAGAAAACTCCATGCCATTTTCTATAGTGGTTGTACTATTTTACAGTTCCATAGAATTTTTTCATGGTTGATTTTTTGAAAGTGGTTCACCCGGATTTTTTCTAAGGTATGTCTGAATAGACTCAAACTGCCAACTTTTGAGTTGCAAATGAGCACATTAACTGTTTGCATCAATCAGGGAATCCTCACTGCATTTGGAAAGGTATCTGAAAAAGACACTTCCACTGGGAGGATATACATAAATCACTAACAGCAAAATCTCTGGGTGGTGAGATTATTATTGCTATTGTAAAGTGCCACCGAGTCAATTCTGATTCATAGCAACCCTGTATAGGATTTCCAAGGTGGTCCAACTTTATACCTTTTTGCAGAAGCAGAAAAACCTCATCTTTCTCCCGAAGAGTGACTGATGGGTTTGAACCACTGACCATGTGGCTCGAAGTCCAGTGCTTACCCCGTACAGAGTCACTGTGCTCTCATGGTGAAATTATAAATGACTTTTTATGCTTTTCTATAGTTTTCATTCTCTCTAAAAGTAATGTGTTTTGCAGATGGGGAAAATCTTTGTTTAGAAAGCACACTTACATCCTCAGTGACTTCACCTATGTTACAGCACTGTGTGCATTCTAAAGTGCTGTACCAGCAGTTTTTTTCTTGTTTACATTAGAGGAAGCGGTGGTGCAGCATTCATAGCTCTCTGGCTGCTGCTGAGACTAAACTCACTGAACAGAAACTCATGACCAAGTTGCTGGGTCACACTGAAAACTCTCACCTTTTCAAGGAGCAAACAGTGAAGCACCGACTCCTAGCTGGAAGCTTGGTGGTCTGAGCTCACCTTGAGGTGCCTTGGAAGACAGGTTTGGCAATCTGCTTCTGAGCAATCACAGCCTTGAAAACCCAGTTCTACTCTGTACACAGGAGATCATCATGAATGGCAACTAACAAAAACAATAACTCATCATTTTAGATGAGTTTTATTTTTCCTTTTAAGTTATTCATGTACTTGTATTATTTATCTGTCTCTCCCAATTTTCCTTGCAGTTTTAAAAATAACATAAAATGTACCACTTTGAAGTATACACTTTAGTGGCACTGTAGGATAAGTACTGGATCAAAAGGTCAGTTTGAACTGCAAGGTCAGTGTTTCAAACTCACCAGTTGCTCCTCAGAAAACCTACACAGGTTCACTCTGAGTTGGAATAGACTCAACAGCACATAACAACAGCAACAATATAGTCTAATTACAGAAATTTTTCGTTACCTCAAAAAGAAAACCGCACTCATTAAAAGTCACAGCCCAATCATTCCTGTCTTCCAACCCCTTGTTCTTGGCAGCCGAAAATCTACTTTCTGTCTCTATGAATTTTCCTATTCTGGACATTTTGTATCAGTGGAATTATACAGTATGTGGACTTTTGTATCTAGGTTCTTTCACTTAGCATAATGTTTTCAAGTTTCACCCATGTTGTAGCATGCATCAATACTTCATTCTTTTTTATGGGAGATTGACAATGCACACTGAGTTCTTGAGAGGTGCATGACTTGCCTAGGACTAGTGGTCTCCACACTTGGCAAATAGTGTCCCCTCCTAATGAGCTGTGTTGAAGAGTTGAAGTGACCAGAGTAGCAAAATGGCAAGGCAGTGAGGAAAGGCAGGGCTAAGGGATAACACTGTTGAGACTCCCCAGTGGGCAGTTCACAGACCTCCATATGGAAGGTAAGCAGAATTGCCTTCTCTATCTATCTTGTCTTCACTCCTTCTCCCCTCTCATAGCCTCTGTCCTTTCCTGAGTGCTACTGGGTGGAGGGGGCTAGCAGGCACTCAGTTCAAACCAAATGGCCTCCAGTTACCAGGGTGATGGGTGTGGTTCAACAAATCAGGAGGCTTTACATGAGAGAATAGCTTGTTTAAAAATAGGACCTTAACCTGAAAAGCATTTCACAATTAAGAAAGCATCCCTGTGATAATTATATGGTGAGAGCATGGAAGATCTTATATCCATTTTGCCAAAATAAAACCTGAGATCCAAAGAGGTTAGCCAACTTGTTCAAGGCTGTGATTCTGATATGCAGTGGGTAGAATCAGACCTTGATTCTTAATGTCCATCCATGCATTTCCCAAATGACTGATGATGCTGAACATCTTTTTATGTGCTCACTGGCCATTTATATATCCTCTTTAGTGAACTGTCTATTCAAATCCTTTGCCTATCATGAATATGTACAAACTAACTTGCATTTAACAAGTATTTATTGAGTACCTACTATGGGCTATGGAGCCCTGGTATTACTGGACCTCAAGGTCGGTTTGAACCACAGGGTCAGTGGTTCAAATCCACCAGCCACTCCTTGGTAACCCTAGACAGGATCACTATGAGTCAGAACCTAATCAACGGCACTTAATAACAACAACAATGTGGGCCATATACCATTCTAGACACTGGATAAGTTAATGATGAAAACAGACAAAGCCCCTGATCTTATGGCTCAATAAGTAACAGTCGTTGTTAAGTCTTATCAAACAGGTTCCAACCCATAGCAGCCCTGCATACAGTTTCCAAGGAGCAGCTGGTGGGTTTGAACCACCAACCTCACTGTTCAAACCCACCTTGTGGTCCAATGCTTTATCCCACAGCGCCAACTGGACATATAACTAGATCAGCTGGAGATGAGTGTCATGAAGAGAAATCAATTGGGGTATGGGAATAAGAAGTGGCAGGAAGGATGGGGTCAGGAAGGGAGGTGCTATTTAGGAAGAGTCTAAGAAGGTCTCTCTGACAAGGAGACACTGGGGCATGTGGATATCTGGGAAAGGTGTAGGCACCTACTACGTGCCAGGTGCTCTGTAGGAGCTGTCCATGCATTAGCTCATGTGAATCCTCCCACACACTGTGTTAGGTAGGTGTGGTGACGTTCATTGGAAAATGGTGGAATAATTCAGAAATGTATGGATGTTCTTGGGTGGTTGCTGTGATTGTCGACTGCCGTCAAGTCAACACTAACACATGATGACCTCACATACAACAGAATGAAACATTACGAAGTCTTTTCATGTGGCCACTGTGTATTTTGAGTAGCTTCTGACCTAGGAAGCTCATCTTCCAGCACATATAATGGAAAACATTCTGTTGTTATCCACAGAGTTTCATTGGCTAATTTTCAGAAGGAGATCACCAGGTCTTTCTTCCTGGTATGTTTGAGTCTGGAAGCTCCACTGAATTCTGTTCACTATG